CCGGTTTGGCCTGGTTCTATAGAACCGGTAGCTGTGAAGAGCAGTTGACACCAAACCAGTTCGGTGTTTGGCCCACCCACCTGCCCGGGCTCTAGGCTGTCCTTCATTCCCTGCTTTTCCCTCCTCAACTGCTTTGCGTGGCACAGCTAAGGTTGAAAAAGCAGGAAACGAGGATTTTCAACTCTCGCGCAGCGCTTGTCAGCTGTCAGATGGCACAGCTGATTTCTTGCAAACAGCTGATTTCTTGCAAACACATTGTTAAGCCTGGATTCCCCAACGGGTGTTAAGGAAAACAAACTAAACAGAATGTGCAGCTAAGTCAGATAGGAAGACAGGTAAATGTGTGAGATAAGTTTTCTAGTTAACACGCAGTAAAAATACAGATACGCTTGTGCTATCAAAAATATAGTTTATTCTATTTAAGAAGTATAGCATAGTCATATAACGGTCCATTAGTCATATATCAATTTCAGTCAATTCTTGTTGGGGATACACTAATTGCAAAGTCCGTGTTGAGTAGCCAATGTCAGTTCACTTACAATAAATCTGTCCAATCTTTATCTTCTCTCCAGTTGAGAAGTATCAACACACCTTGTTCTCTCCCCTTTCCAGCAAGATCGCAGTCATCAATCCATCAAGTAATTAGGGATCAGTAAGCCAGAGAGAGAGCTGCATTTGCCTCGCTTCATATATAGTGCTTTTACAACCACACCCTTAATTACATTCTTGCTGTTAAAGTTACACACACTTTAACTAACAAACCATGATACCTTATTTATTATTTTTAGCCAAACCAGTTAGGGTAAACAATGTTATCCCTAACACACATGCATAGTTTGGAGAACCGGCAAATCGCTCCACTGTCTGGCCCCGCCCACTCACCCCTTACCTGGCATGCGAGCTATCCAACTTGCCTGGTCTGGTAAGTTGTTATTTTTATCTTTTTTTTCCTGACCATTAGCTGTTCTGCTCTGCCGGGAGATTTAGATCCTTGAATTTAAATCCTTGAATTTCTTGCTTTCTAGCTAATCTAAAAGCAGAGCCGAACCTTCCTTAGGACTGAAGCTTCTACTTTCCAGTGCAGACTCAGGTAGCCAATGGCAGAAAGATAGATCTCTGAGTGATTCTGTGAGCAACTCAATCTGCCTGCCTGCTTTGCCTGATTTTGGGTAAAAGTTGCTATTTTTTTAATAAAAAATTCAATATTTACATAAATATTTATAATATTTACACACAAGCCATGCCCACCCAGTCACATGACCACCAAGCCATGCCCAGTCAGCAAGTCACACCCACCCAGTCACATGACTACCAAGCCACACCCACAAATTAGACCACACCCACAGAACCAGTTGTTAAGAAATTTGAATCCAACCCCTGGTATTTGGTAAGGCAAACAAGGCTGGAAATACACCCCTTCTGTGCTGAGGTATATGATCATGTTAGTTTGAAAATATGAGGATAGCAATAGCAATAACACTTAGACTTAAATATTGTTTTACAGTGCTTTACAGCCTTCTCTAAGTAGTTTACAGAGTCAATATATGGCCTCCAACAATCTGCGTCCTCATTTTATTGACCTCGGAAGGATGGAAGGCTGAATCAACCTTGAGCCAGTCAGGATAGAATGCCTTGCAGTTGGCAGAATTAGCCTGCAATATTGGGCCACCACGGCAGGTAGATGGTTGGTAGGTAGGTAGGTAGGTAGGTAGGTAGGTAGGTAGATAGATAGATAGATAGATAGATAGATAGATAGATAGATAGATAGATAGATGATAGATAGATAGTGTTATGAACTAATAAAAACTATTTAATAAAACTTATCAACCGCAT